GCCTTCTTCACCGAATCAGCAACACCATCTATTCGCCGCTTGTTGTTAATCTCCGTTGTCTGAGCCAACCCAATGCGACCAGCTTTCTCGCATCTCCAATTCCAACCTGGATGGCAAATTTGGTCGACAACTCCGACTCCTTCTGCTCCCTATCAAGCAAGGCATTAGTCTGATTCATAGCCGCCTCCAATCCTGATACAACAACCATCATCTCCCCACCAGCCCATCAGCGCCTCGAGTGACCATGGAAAAGCAAACTCGTCCGTTGCGCCACATTCTCAACCTCTCTTTGCAAGTTACTCGTCTCGCTGTTGAGATGAGCATCCAGTATCCTATAAAAATCAAATACAGGACAGATCCCAATTCTTTCGATAACCCACTCTAGATTTCCCACAACACTCTTCATACTGGTCTGCAATGCGTCAACTTGCCGACTATCAATCTGCTCACCTGCCGACATAAACCTCCAAAAAAAAACAACATTAAGCCCAGCTACTTACCATTGAGTATTTTCTGTTTCAACGCCGCATTAGATCCCCTAACCCGCTCAGCCAGTGTGCGCATTTGTTCCAATGCCTGCAATAAAAAAACCACATATCATCCACATTGTGGAGTGTTGTACATACCTCCACAGCTTGCATCGCCGCTGCCCGTTCTTCCTCAGTCTCGGCGTTCTTAGCCCGACTTTGTAGTTCACTCAAACGTACCTCTATCTGCTGCTGGGAAGCTGTGAAGTCGCGCTGAAGGCAGTGAAATTAGAAAATCCAAAAAACATCAACTCCAAAAGTCACCTCGATATCCTCAGCCGTCTTGGACATAATTTGTGGTAGCTTCCGCACCCTCTCCTCGAATGCGGTTGTCAGGTTACGAAGTTTCTCTGTTTCGTGGTGAGACAAAATGCTAACACACACACGCAGAATACTCAAACCAACCGTTCTTGCGATGTGGACAACTCTCACCCGAAACGTTCCATAAGGTTCATAAAGTTATCCTCAAACTGTCGTTTCTGGGTCTCCACCGAGCTCAGCACGCCATCCAATTGTTGTCTATACCTGATCATACCGCACCTCTCCCAACATTCCTTACAAACCAGGACCGCACCCTCTAGACGCCCGATCAAATTGCTGACCATCATCACGCAGTTTCTTCTCCAAAACCTACAACACGTCCACTTCCCCCGACCAAAGGCAATGCCAACCCACCGCAGAGCTCGTCTTCTCAGCCAGGTACTTCTTCTGCGCCCCCTCGATCTCTGACTGCGCTCGATTCTCCACATCATGAACCCTTTTCTCAGCATTCATCATCCTCGACTCGAGCTGATATGATAAGCAAAATACCCCTATAAAAAGCAGTCGAATGACCATACCATGCTCTTCAAACTTTCCTCCATTTTGCCCTCATTCCCCGCCAACTCAGCCTGCACTTGAGCCAATGCGGCATCCGCCTTCACATCACTCTGCGCCAACTGCTCCGTAAATTGATTCTTCTCTTTCGACAATTCCTCTTCCTGTGACTTCACCAACCCAACCACAGACGAATCCACACTCCTCAGCTCTTGCTGCAACGCCTGAGACCTTTGCTGGTCCAGCCCAAGACTCGCCGACATTTCCC